AAGCAGAAAGAAGAGGGAAAAAAGAGTAATCTGATACAATTTGATGAACTTGACCTACACCTATGGAGGCAGTAGCTCAAAAGAGGCAACAAATCCCTACAGCGAGGATCATTCCCACCCCTTCCACACAGAGTAGACAGGGATGGGCAACTTGGACATTGGCTACCCAAAATGGGGGGAGGGGGGGTGTCTACAAAGGCAAGAAGTGATTGGCTTACAAGCTTTCAACAGGGATTCTAGATCCAGAGGGCATGGAGGAAGGTAGAATCTCCACTGAGTAGTATCCAATCTGTCTAGGCCAGGCTGATGAAAAGAAATGCAGATCGGTCTCTTGTGATACAATAGTGAATAATTGTTATCAGGACTGACTGTGAGGGTTGGAAATGTAAAGGTAGATGTTTTGTAGCAAAAGGAGGGGAGTGACTGACTTTGCAGTCTAGGAGCGGGATAGGAGCGGAGGTCCCTAGGACCATCAAGGGAAAAGAGTGGAGTGTGGAACCCTACCCAGAGAAGCAGGATGCCAAAGATGGAGGCAGAGATGACCTGGAGAGATGGAGCGGCTGGGGACTTTAGACCCAGAGAGGGAAAGGGGCTGTGTGCTGGGGACTAGGGGTCAGGCTTGCAGGTTGACCCTTTGGTTGGTAGATGATTCATGGAGGGGATTGTAACCATGGCAATGGAACAATATAGGATAGGATGAATGTAAAGCTCATGTTCTTCCATGTAAACTATCACATAATTCACAATAAAACATTAAAAAAAAAAAATTAGCCTGCTGTAGTGTGGTGGCTGGATTATTTTTTAGCCCTGGACTGTTTTTAACTAGATTGTTTTTAGCACTGCAGTTGCATTGGCAGGATCAGACCAAATGATTTCCCAGAGTCCTGGTGTGACACTATGGGTTAATGTGCTAGACTGCAAGGTTGGTGTGAACGGCAAGGTCGGCAGCTCAAGCTCATCAGCCAGTCCTTAGAAACCCTATACAGACAGAGTCACTATGAGTCAGAAGCAACTCCACAGCACTCAACAACAACAGCAACAACATACGGCGCAGGCTGGACATTCCCCACCACTGGTCTATACCTACACCTTGAGTTATTTGATCACTGGGTTATTATGAAATAAGAGGCCCTACAATCCATTTCACTAACAATAGATAACTCCATTACCCCTTGGTGTACTGTGGTGGTGGTGTGTGTTGTTATGATACTGAAAGCTATGCTACTGCCATTTCAAATACCAGAAGGGTCCACCTATGGTGGATGAATTTCAGTAGAGTTTTCAGATCAAGCAAACTAGGAAGAAAGGCATGGCTATCTGCTTCTGGGAACTAGCCAATGAAAACCCTATGGATCACAGCAGAATACTGTTCAATATAATTCTGGAAGATGACTTGATTGGAAGGCCCTTAAAATACACAGTGGCCAAAACAATGGACTCAAACATATGAACACTTGTGAAGATAGTGCAGGATTAGGCAATGTATCCTTCTGATATGTATGGGGCTCCTATGAGGCAGAATTGACTCAGTAACAACTGATAACAACAATAGTTCAATAGAGTAGGGAGGAGCACATTCATTTGTAAGCCAGAACAGTAGGAGGAAGTTTTGTTAATAACAGTGGTTACTCTTTACGTAGGCACTGTATCATATGGTGAGTCCTTTGGAAAGTTCAAAGTCCAGTGGTATTTCAGGAAAAGATAACTTCATAAGTGCAAAACTAGATTGGATATTATATAATACTGACATATTCATGTAATTCAACTTTATTTAGAAAATGGTTGTGTAGAATAACTAGATTGTTTTAGCACTGGGTCTGCAATTTACTTCCATATATGGACTCCTGGGAGATATTTTCCAATCTCTAGTCAAATATGTATATAATGAAGGGAACTAAAAATTTAGATTATTTAAATAACATTGTGTTTTGAGTGAATATATATATATTATGAACTTGGCATGCAGGATTGCCCTTGTATTTTAGAGCTGAGCTAGCCAAGTTAGTATACCAGATGGTCCTTTATTTGTAAGTTTGCCTTTCAGATAGGATACCAGAATTGAGGGGTCCTGGTGTGGTGCTGTAGCATAAGCTCTGGACTGCTAACCATAAAATCAGCAGTTCAAACCCACCAGATACTCCTTGGAAACCCTATACAGTCAGAACTGGCTCAGTGGCACTAAATAATAACAGCCAGATTTGGGAAGATTGCAAATCCAGTTTTCTTTCATCAAAACATTTTTTAAGTGCTGATTTTGTGATCAGCATGGCTGATAAAAACAACCTTGCATTGACCACATTCTGTGAATCCAGGGAAGGAGTCTCTTCCCACATAGTAAACAACATTGTGAGCAGCTTGTCACTCTCACCTTTTGCAAGGGGACATTCTCACAGCTGTTTCCCTGTGTGGGGACAGTTCATCCTTCAACTTCCAGCTCTCATTTTCAGAGAAAGCTTGTATTTGTATTTACTAAAAAAATTTTTAGCTATATTTTTGCAAATTCTCTCTTAATCTACACTTTCTTTTCCAAAAACGTAAGATAGATTATTTTAATAAAGCCATCACTGAATATATAAAAGCCACGTGGTGGTATTTCCAAGATGTACAATTACTTGAACAGGATAAACAAATTGAGGCATATCCACACAATGGATTTCTACTTATCATTAAAAAGGAATTAATGACTGATACAGACAAAACCGGAGTCCTGATGTAGCACTGCAGGATAAGCACTGGACTGCTAACAGCAAGGATGGTAGTTCAGATTCACCAGCCGATCCTCAGAAGCCCTATACAGGATCGCTATGAGTCAAAATCAACTCAACAGCACTTAATAACAACAGGTTAACACCAGAGTCATGGTGTGGCACTATAGGATAAGCATTGGTCTGCTAACTGCAAGACCAGCAGTTCAAACCCACCAGCCACAACTAGGAAACTGTATACAGAGTTGCTATAAGTAGGAACTGACAACATCACTTAACAACAAGCTACACCAGGAAAACATCTTAAAAGCATTTTGTAAAGTGAAAGAAAAATCAGTTGCTATCTAATGGATTCTGACTGGTGGCAGTGCCATGTGTGTCAGACCAGAACTATGCTCCATAGGGTTTTTGTTTGTTTTTAAGTTTTTATTGTGAATTGAGAGACCGTTTACATGGGGAAACATCAATTCATTTCATTGCAACTATTATAATCCCCTGCATACTTTATCACTTAACAGTATTTGCTTCGATTCCATCTGTTTTGTTTTATTTTTTTCAGATGTGAAATATACAGTCATTCAAACAGCTAAAGGGCACACGCTGCCTCCTAGCCACCAGCACACATCCTCTCTCTCTCCATGAGTCTAGAATCCTAAGCTACTCCATCTCATCTTCCATATCATCATCTCTGCCTCCATCTCTGACATTGCTGCTTTTCTGGGTAGGGTCCCACACTCTGCTCCTACTCTTCTCCCTTGATGATCCCAAAGTCCTCCGCTCCAGGACTATCATATTGACCACTCACCTTTTTTTGCTACAAAACTTCTACTTTTACAGTTGTGACAATCGCAATTAGTCATGATAACAATTACTCATTATTGAATCATGAGAGTCTTGTCCCCAGTCCCCATCTCCTTTCACCAGACCTATCTAGACAGGATGAAAAACTCAGTGGGGCTTCTACCTTCCCGGTCTCCCGCCCCCCACACACTCTGAATCCAAACTCCCTCTTGCTTCATAGGGTTTTTGAAGGCTGATTTTTCAGAAGTAGATCACCACAACTTTCTTTTAAGGTGTCTCTGGATGGACTCAAACCTCCACCTTTTCCATTAGTGATCAGACTCATGGATCTTTCATCACCAGTCTGTCAAAGTGGAGACTGGGCTTACCTCATCTCTCCCTCTAGTCATCTTTCTGGCCTTGAGTAAATCACAACTTTGCCCCATGATTTACTTACCCAAATAATTGAGATATTGAATCAACTGATCTCTTTATTGCCCCTTCTGAATCTTTTTGATGAATCAGTGGGGGGAAGTACATTGTTAAAACAAAACAAAACATAAAACTGTCGCCCTTAACTCATGGTGACCCCATGTGTCACAGACTAGAACTGCTCCACAGTTTTGGTTAGATTTTTGGGTTGTGTTTTGGTTTTTTTGTTGTTGCTGTAATCTTTTTAGAAGCAGGTTGCCAGTCCTTTTTCCAAGGTGTCAGTGGGTGGGTTCAAACTGCCAAGTTTTAGATTAGCAGTTGAACAAATAATTCATGCTACCCAGGCTCCTACAGCATTAATAGTTCTTTGTTACTAAAGGAAAAAAGGAACCTGTTTTTGAGAGTAAGTTTTGGACATAATCCCTGCAACAGGTGCTTGCTTGACTGTTAACTGAAAAGTTGGTAGTTCAAACCCACCCAGCGACTCCACAGGAAACAGACCTGACTGTCTGCTCCCTTAAAGATTACAGCCTAGAAAACCCTATGGGATCGTTCTATTCTGTCACATGGGGTTACTGTGAGTCAAAACTTGACTCAGTGGCAAGATTGCCCTAGTATTTTAGAGCTATGCACATAGGAGAGTCATCTAACCATAAAACCAAAACCCACTGCTGTAAAGTCGATTCCAAATCCTAGTCACCGTATAGGACAGAGTAGAGCAGCCTCAGGGTTTCCAAGGCTGTAAATCTTTTCAGAAGCTGACTGTCTCACCTTCTCTGGTAGAGTGGCTTGTGGGTTTGAACCGACAACCTTTCAGTTAACAGCCAAGCACTTAACCACTCTACCACTAGGGTACCTGGGTTCCTAACAACACCAAAGGAAAGCCAAACTGTAACAGACACATGGAGTGGGTGTGGGGCCTGGGGGCAGATCAAGAAAGAAGGAGCAAGATGAGAAACTGCTGCTCATCTAGAAAGGAATGGGGGTGGAAGTGGGGGTCAGAACATAGATTTAAAAGCCTCAAAAAAAAAAAAAAAAAAAAGGGTCAATACAACCCTCTTACCAGAATTTCTTTCACTTCAGAATGAAGAAATAGTTGAAAGCAGTCAAGAGATGGAGAACCTTGAACGGGAACCATGTGATAGTCTTGAACATCTTTCCCCCAGCAGGTAAGAGTAGAATCCATATGTAGAAGTCATTTTTAATCCCCTTGGGGGTGGGGATGAGGGGTAAGGAGAAGGGATCGACTGTTTCATATCTCAACACTATTCTAGATAAAATCACAATATTTATTCCAAAGACTGACCTTCATCTTTATCCGTTAAAATACCTAACAACAAAATTCATGAATCTCACAAAAGCCACAAGCAAAAGAGTTAGAGGTGACCATTTTATGAACCAAGCTTCTAAGGATTCCTGTTGCTGATACTAACTCACAGCAACCCTACAGAACAGACTAGAACTGCTCCATAGGGTTTCCAAGACTGGACAGCGTTGTAGAATAAGCACTCAACCACAAGGTTGGTTTGAACCACAAGATTGGTGGTTCAAGCTCAACAACCACTCCTCAGAAATCCTCTGCAGGGTCGCTATGAGTCGGAACCAACTCTACAGCACTTAACAGCAACAAAAACAATTGTTATGGAAGCAGACTGCCACATTTTTCTCCCAAAGAGTGACTGGTGGGTTCAAACTGCTGATCTTTCAGTTACCATTCAAGCACTTTAACCACTACATCACCATGACACCAAGGATACTCAGTGTTTAAACAGTAATTATCAAGAAAGTAGTGAAAGTAATTTAATTTTAATATTGATTGAATTGTTGGTTCAAAAGCATTTAAAAGCTATTGGTGAAAAATAAAATAAAAGTTACTGGTCCCTAAAAGTCAGTTTATACATAATTAATTTTAATATTGATTGAATTATTGGTTAAAGAGCATTTAAAAGCTATTGGTGAAAAATAAAAGTTATTGGTTCCTAAAAGTCACAGTTTATAAAAATGTAATACTATTTTTGGATTCACGGGATGACACTGTAGGACCAGCACTGGACTGAGAACCACAAGGTTCACAGTTCAAACTCATCAGCTGCTCCTTGGAAACCCTAGACAGGATTAACAACAATAGTGCTATTTGGTGTTTCCATGCATGAGAACGCTATGCACTTTAGAAAGTCTGAGCAAATAAAGTAAAGACCAAAAGCACAAAGAGCTATAAAAATGTTTTTAAATTTATACTCAGAATCCCCATCATTATCACTATTCCAGCACTATCACATTTGACTTCTGCACTGCTTTCATCCTCAGGGTCTGTCATAATGCTTGGTGTTTAGTAGGTCCTCAAAACTATAACAACCAAAAAAACAACTTGTAGAATTAATGAACAAACATCTTTAAGAACTTGCCCTTTATTAAAAGTATTAGCTTAATTACACTACTTTATACTCTTTCACTTTAAGGTTTCCTCAAGAAAACATATATGGAGCTTTTAAAGATTGAAATTTATCCCTAAATCATAATAAATGGCCCAATCCAGCATATCTAAAAGTGAGACTGTGCTTAATGGAGTTGTTTTTGTCAAATACCACTTGGTGATGTGTTTAATGATTTTCCTTAAATGATAGTACCTTTTGAAAGATTTCTATTACTATAACCCATGCCTATTTCTCTCATTTTAAGTCTTAGTTAAATGGATCCTTTAGGGTCATTGATGAATTATTGTGTTAATTTACAACAGAGTAATAAATCATACTTCTAATAAGTCATATAAAGAAAAACAATCATGACTTAACTAATGAAGCAAAAATATCTTTATGGTTCTTGGAAAAGAATTTAAAAAAAAAAAAAGCAAAATTAGCAAGGGAATTGATTAAATAGGAGATAAGGAGCTCTGGTAGCGTAGTGGTTACGAATCAGGCTGCTAACCTCGAGGTCGGCAGTTCGAAACTACCAGCTGTTCTGCGGGAGAAAGATGTTGCTTTCTGCTCCCGTAAAGATTTACAGCCTCGGAAACCCTGTGCAGGGTCACTATGAGTCGGAACCAACTCCACGGTACTTAACAACAACAACAAAAATGACACTACTGGTTTTGTTCTATCACTAACTTTGAATAAGTACCTGAAGACCACCGATCTTTGATCGACAGTTTAATCTATATTTCCTTAGTCACTATATTCGAAAAAGATGGTGACTTTGAGTACTATGTGATTGCACTGTGCAGAGACGCCCTACCTTCACAACTTATATTTTTTGTGAAGAAAAAGCACATGAAACAATTAGCAGATGTTATGGTTATGCGTGTGCATCTCCTTGGCTGGGCCATAACTCTCAGTGGTTCGGCAGGTATGATGTAGTTTGGCAGTTGTATAATGATGTAGTAATCCCCCATGAGGAAATCTGATGTACTGTAATCACTTCTATGATGACATCTGCTATGAGCAGCTGATTGATCCTCAGGGGTGTTACTTGCACCCAATATATATGCATGTTTTGGCAAAGCTCTCTGACCTCCAATTCTTTGAACTTGAGCCATCAGCTGTCATATTGCCTGCTAATCTTGGAATTCATTACCTCTGCAACCTGTGTGCCAGTAGCCTGCCACCTGAACTGCCAGTCTTGGGTTTGTTAGCCCCTGCAACTACATGATTCAGAAGAAACCTCCGGTCTGATGGACTTGGGATTTATTTTGCCAGTTTCTACAACCTTGTGAGCTTTTTCCTTGAGCTCAATCTTTCTATATACAAGGGCGTTTCAAAAAGGTCATCGAAAAATTCTCTTATCCTTTAATTCCATCTTTCGACAAACTTTTTGAAGGCCCCTCATATATACGTATATACAGTTCATTGGTTTTGCTTCTCTAGAGAACCCAGCCTAAAACATTTGACACTAAGAGTGGCTCTGAGAAGCAAAATCATAAGGAGGAGTTTTTAAAATTGATTCTCAAGTCTGACTAGTCTTAAAGACACTGATGACTCTGCCTCCAGTAGTAAAGAGGGCACTGCTTATCCGCGGAATAAGGTTGCAGTATTAATAGATAAAACATCATCACTAGTAGACTCAGAGTGGTCATGTTTGGTAATTTTCTGCTATTTTGTCAGAATAAGATGTGTAACTATAAAAAGGAGTTCTTAGTCACCTGCCACTAAATCAGCCAATACTCAAGAGACAGGGCCCGAGCAAAGCATTTATTGTATATCAATATACAAGAGAACAAGGGAGCAGGAATTTCCCAGATTTGCCTTCCCATCTGAAAGGCAACCTGGAGTTTTTAAAAGGCAAGAAAATCAATGTCATAGAACATCTGATTATTGTATTGTTTTTCTATTCCAGTACTTAGGGTGGATGCATCCTGAATACAGTAACCATTTCAATCATTCCTTTTGTTCCTGGGAGGAATTTCTCCCTGTTTTTGTACTACAAATTCTATTCAGGAGATTAAAAAAGAGTTTTTAATTACAGAATGTAGCTAGAGAGGGAGTTAAATTTTAACTATAACTGTTACTCTGAAATGGCTATTCAGGTTATATTTTATCTTAGGCTAAGCTAAAACCTTCTCAGTGGCCCCTGGCAGAAGTATAGGGAAGCTGGTTGGTTGGCCCTACTTACACTAGACAAAGTGGTGAAAGAAAAAGATAAGTTCAGAGTTACAACTGCATAAGAAAGACTCCAAAGTTGCCACTTGTGCCCTGAAAGAAAGCTTATTTCTTATAGTAATAGAGCTGATATTGCTGAAAACCAATCTTTGATCTACAGTTTAATCTATATTTCTTTATTCACTATATGTGAAAAAATATATTTAGTGTAAGAGTGGCTGAATTACAATGACAGTTGAATTCCCAACCTCGAATTGTATCTGAAGTTAAAGTAAGGACATTGATTGAAAAGAAAAGGGATCTTAAAACTTAGAATGGGAACATATGGGTAGATAATCAGGAACCTGGGACACTGAGCAGCTCCCCCTCCCCCAAGTCAGTTGAATCAATCCTACCAACAGGACTAGACTTCTTACTGCATTTGATGAGATTAACCCAGCTATCCTGATGAGTCTTTGTCTGAGATATCACCTGGGGAAGCACCTAAGACAGATGCCTGAAAAAACATTTCTGAATGTTCCCAGGAACATTTCCACCACACAATTTTACTTCTAGACTTAAGTTCCGACATGCTCCAAAAGGAGTGGGGAAGGAACTATTCATGGGCTAGAAGGCAAACATATGTTAACATGGGTGATGGGGTAGGCAATATACAATAAGAGACAGATTGGCAGGAAAAGATGAAGTAGTGAGAGCCACAGAGAGGAATATAAGAGTTAAAGTGAATAGAGATAAATACTAGTAACTGATGTTACATGAAGGGGGTTGCAGTCACTGTAATGAAGCAAAGTATATGATTTATTGAATGTAAAACTGATGATCTGTTCTGTTACCTTCACTCAATTCACAATAAGAAGTTTTATATATATATAGAGAGAGAGAGAGAGAGAGAGAGAGTCCTGGTGTGGGTTGCTATGGGTCAAGACTGACTAGATGGCACTTAACAACAACATATATATATATATATATATATATATATATACATATATAAAGACATATATATATATGGAGCTCTGGTAGCTTAGTGGTTACGAATCAGGCTGCAAACCATAAGGTCAGCAGTTCGAAACTACCAGCAGTTCCGTGGGAGAAAGATGAGGCATTCTACTCCCGTAAAGATTAACAGCCTCGGAAACCCTGTACAGGGGTCGCTATGAGAGAGATTGAGAGAGAGATTACTGGTGTGGTGCTGTGGGTTAATGCACCAGACTGCAAAGCTGTTTGAACTATAAGATTGGTGGCTCAAGCTCACCAGTAACTCCTTGGAAATCCTATACAGGGTCGCAATGGGTCAGAACTGACTTGATGGCACTTAATAACAACAACATATATATATGTAGAGAGAGAGACATAGAGCCACATTTGCTCAAACAATGAAACCACATCTGGATGGCAGCTGCAATTGTACGCACCATCTGGTTAAATTGACAATAATTGAGATTCTCCAAGATGTTTTGTCTTTTAATTTTTTCCTCCATGGAAAACATAGGTGAGTTGAGTATGGATGTGGTGAAAATCACCACCCTTGTGTCCTTTAAGTCCTTGGTGGTGGCACTAATGTCTGCATCTTGGTCATT